TAGAGCGATAACTTCAGGTTCAGACAAATATTTTATACACGATAATGGGACTCTAGTCATTCAGAAAGTTCAGCGATTCGATGGTGGGAACTATATATGTCTTGCCAGGAACAGTGCAGGGCAGGATCGCAAAGTGACCAGAGTAGAAATCCTTGTCTCTCCACCTGCGATTAATGGCCTCATAGGTACCACAAACTCAATGAGGGTTTCTAGCGTGGGAGATCAGCGGAAACTGATTGACTGTGAAACCACTGGTACCCCTGTTCCACGTGTCATGTGGGTTCTTCCAGAAAATGTTGTACTCCCTGCACCATATTATGGCAGTCGAATGACAGTACATCGCAATGGCACTTTGGATATCCGTTCAGTGAGAATGACCGATGCAGGCCAGTTAGCCTGCGTTGCTCGTAATGAGGGAGGCGAAACAAGGCTTGTTGTTCAGCTTGATGTAACAGATATTTTAGAGAAGCCAAAACTTAAGAGTCCTAAAATGGAGTCACTTTTACTGACTGTAGGCAGGACCATTAATCTTAACTGTTCAATTGATGGGTCACCAACCCCACAGCTGACTTGGATCCTTCTAAATGGCTCTCCACTACAGAGTGGTGCACAATTCAGTAAATTCCTCCACAAGTCCAATGGAACTTTGGTCATTAGTAATCCTGCTCTCTCAGAGGCAGGCACATATCGTTGTTTGGGACGCAATGCTGCTGGAATGGTTGAAAGAACTGTTACATTAATGCCAGGACACAAGCCAGAAATCAATAACAGGTATAACTCACCTGTTAGTATCATGAATGGGCAGAGTTTACATCTGCACTGCTTGACAAACACTGACTCTGTCCGCCTCGCCTGGACCCTGCCGAGCGGGATGGTCTTAAACCGACCTCAAAGAGCAGGTCGTTATGCTGTCCTATCCAATGGAACCCTCTCAATCCAACAAGCCTCTGTCCATGACAGAGGCTCATACACCTGCAGGGCCTCAAATGAATATGGAAGCTCCCTACTAACTGCCCCAGTCATCATCATTGCATATCCACCCCGCATCACAAGTGGTCCAGCTCCTGCCACCTATGCTAAAAGAGGAGTAGCAGTACAACTCAACTGTGGGGCCATGGGTACTCCCAAAGCAGAAGTTGCATGGGAGACCCCAGACCGAACACGGCTTATTGTCAGCCCCCAGCCACGGTTGATTGGGAACAAGTATCTCCATCCTCAGGGTTCCTTAATCATTCAGAATCCTACAATAAGAGATACTGGATTATACAGATGCACAGCCAGAAATGTGGTAGGGGTTGACACAAAAAGTACATATCTTTATGTGTACTAAGAAACACAAGAGATCTACTCTTCATATGCCCAAGGAACTGCGACGTTGAGCTGTAACACAGCTTAATAGCAATAGCATTTGCCAATGTGAAATATAGAAAGGAATCAGCCCAAAGCAAAAACATTACATATTTTATTAAAGTTCGCAAGTAAAACATTGTGAAATGTAAAAAGGTACCATCCTTCAAAAGCTTGGAATGGATTTCATGTAATGTAACCAACCTACTGATATTACAAGGCATCTTTCTGCTTTTACTGTTTGACAATGACAGTTTATGTCTAAATGTATAGATGAAATAAAAGATATATATTTGTAGCCATGAAGAAAAATATAAATTATATATTCTGACTTCCAAAGCCAATAATTCAGAATATTTCACAAATCAGGGATAAAATTATTTTAATAATGCATCAAGTAAAGAAAAAAAAAATCTAATTATTCAAATCATTCATACACGTTTTTTGAATGAATCACGTACCAAAAATTATTTTTTTCCCAGTATTAAATACACAGATTCTCAGCTTTCAAGAATTACTATCAAATCAGATACCACGTTGCCTACAATAGCTTTCTCATCTATTTTTTTTTATCTGCATAGATCTGTTTTTAAAATTTTCATACCTTTCAGTTGTAACACTTATAAATTATTTGTTCTTTGAAAACTAATGTATTTCTATTTGCATATTTTTAATAAAGATGAGAGAGAAAAAAAAAAAGTTTGATGTCAGCCATTCTGATACAGATAACACAGATGCTACATGTGGAACAATGCCCTTCTGCGCTTTAGAGAAATGGGTTAGAAATCAGAGGCAAAGGTTTTGTCAGGAGAGTGATGAAAAGAGAATTTCCTCTGGGGGAGTTATTGCACTGTCATGAGAGTGTGTTACAGAGAAATAAAACATCAGAGATTCAAGGGGGTGATTCCTTTTTAGATTGTATGTTTACAACAAGCACCATCTTGGTCCATTATCCTGCCTTTGGGTGGACGTCCCATAAAAATATGATGATTTTAACAATCTGCATAAACAAAGGCCATCAATCATTTTGCAATCTGCTATTAAATATAAATATGTATATGTATATTCTTCAAATACAACATTTGTGCCTAACAATATGAAGCAACATGATGGTATTTTTTTAATATGATCATTCTCTAGCCTCTGCTAATGACTACAGTGGGTACGGAAAGTATTCAGACCCCCTTAAATTTTTCACTCTTTGTTATATTGCAGCCATTTGCTAAAATCATTTAAGTTAATTTTTTTTCCTCATTAATGTACACACAGCACCCCATATTGACAGAAAAACACAGAATTGTTGACATTTTTGCAAATTTATTAAAAAAGAAAAACTGAAAAATGCTCAGTATTTAGTAGAAGCACCCATTCTCTTTGGATTTGAGACTTTAGTCTTTGCAACTTTACAGATCTTCTTTATGCACCAAGAGCTTGTAACACTCTAAAGAGAAAGGAAAAAATTAAATCGCATCATATGACCCCTTTAATACTATTTCAGTTTTTATTCATATTTTGAAATAGTTTTATTTTCACATTTTCTATTTATATTTTAGTAAAAATATTTGTAATTTTGTTTTTTTGTCTTTTTTTTTTTATTTTTTATTTCTAGTTTTTATTCTATTTTATTTCAGTTTATTTTAGTAAATCAAGTTAAACAAGCTAAATGAAAATGTCAAATGTTGCCTTGCCAACAAGCCGAAATAAAATAATTGTTCGTATTTTTATCTTTTGTTTCAGTTAAAGTTTATTTTATTTCAAATACCCCAATGTTCACTTTGTTTTTTGTTTTTTTTATTAATTTTTACAATTAACAAATTTTAACTTTTTGAACAAAGCTCAGAAACTAAAGTATCTTGGAAAGATGTAATAAGTATTAAAAGAACTACAACAACAAAATCAGCTATTTCCCCCATAAGCAGGTAAATCAGCATATTTTTCTACATACAGCTTCTCCAGTGGCTGTGGCAGAATCATCAGTAGTCTCTGGTTCTGTGCGCTCACTCTCTTGCTCAGATGGAGGGCTGACTAAAGTAGGGGTCTCTTCAGTCTCCCCACCAGACAGGACATCAAAGAGAATATTCTAAGATGACAGGATAAATAAGTAAGTAAATAAATACATAGGCCTTCTCCTAAAACACTTTTTGCATGACAAAATATATGCAAAATGCTACTGGTGGATTCATGACTGCAAATTGAAGTCTAAAAACTGTCTTAATGAGCCACCATTAGATGGCAGTATTTACAAAAACAGACCCATCTCAAACTTCATTTTGTGAAGCAGTGTTATTTTAGTATAATTTTTTTAATACTATTTCAGTTTTTATTCATATTTTGAAATAGTTTTATTTTCACATTTTATATTTATATTTTAGTAAAAATATTTGTAATTTTGTGTTTTTGTCATTTTATTGTTTTTTTTATATTTCTAGTTTTTATTCTTTTATTTCAGTTTATTTTAGTAAATCAAGTTAAACAAGCTAAATGAAAATGTCAAATGTTGCCTTGCCAACAAGCCGAAATAAAATAATTGTTCGTATTTTTATCTTTTGTTTCAGTTAAAGTTTATTTTATTTCAAATACCCCAATGTTCACTTTGTTTTTTTGTTTTTTTTATTAATTTTTAAAATTAACAAATTTTAACTTTTTGAACAAAGCTCAGATACTAAAGTATCTTGGAAAGATGTAATAAGTATTAAAAGAACTACAACAACAAAATCAGCTATTTCCCCCATAAGCAGGTAAATCAGCATATTTTTCTACATACAGCTTCTCCAGTGGCTGTGGCAGAATCATCAGTAGTCTCTGGTTCTGTGCGCTCACTCTCTTGCTCAGATGGAGGGCTGACTAAAGTAGGGGTCTCTTCAGTCTCCCCACCAGACAGGACATCAAAGAGAATATTCTAAGATGACAGGATAAATAAGTAAGTAAATAAATACATAGGCCTTCTCCTAAAACACTTTTTGCATGACAAAATATATGCACATTCACAATATATGCAATAAATTATTAATACAAAATCAGGATTTGGAGGTGGAGGAGGGGACTAAGATGGGGTGGGCACTGGGCAAGATATGAAATTGCAAACTTTAGCTTCTTAACTTTGCTTCGGCTGAAGTTCTGTCATGACAACTCTCGGAGGGATTGGCATGGTAATGTACATGATAATGTTAATGTATTTGGTCTTGGCGGAATAGATCTGCT